TCCCTCCCCTTCCTCCGGGGCCTGGCCCTACCTGCGTCCCCTGTGTCGAGGGGCGGCAGCGGGCTGCCCCTCACTCCTCCCAGTTTCCTCCGACAGAGGCCCCGCTGCAGACGCTTCACATGGACGTGTGGGGCCCGGCCCGCGTCCGTGGACAGGGTCACGAGCGCTACTTCCTGCTGGTGGTTGACGACTACTCGCATTACACCACAGTCTTCCCCTTGCGCAGCAAGGGTGATGTCACTGAGGTGTTGATCGACTGGATCCGCGCAGCTCGTCTCCAGCTCAGGCAGAGCTTCGGCTCGGACTTTCCTGTTCTGCGTCTGCACTCTGACAGAGGTGGAGAGTTCTCCTCTGGCCTTCTGCGAGCCTACTGTCGTGCGCGAGGCATCCGCCAGACCTTCACGCTTCCGGACTCTCCACAGCAAAATGGGATTGCTGAGCGCCGCATTGGCATGGTCATGGACGTCGCCCGTACGTCCATGATGCATGCGGCTGCCCCCCATTTTCTGTGGCCGTTTGCGGTTCGGTACGCGGCGCATCAGATCAACCTTCACCCTCGGGTCTCCAGGCCGGAGACCTCCCCAGCTTTGCTATGGACGGGGAAGGTTGGCGATGCGTCTGCGTTCCGTGTCTGGGGATCTCGGGCGTTTGTCCGCGACTTGTCTGCGGACAAGCTGTCCCCTCGTGCTGCTCCTTGCGTCTTCCTTGGCTTCCCCCCTGACGCGCCAGGGTGGCAGTTCTACCACCCCACCTCTCGCCGTGTTTTGTCCTCCCAGGACGTCACGTTTGACGAGTCGGTCCCCTACTACCGCCTCTTCCCCTACCGCACTCCGTCCCTCCCCCCACCACCGCTCTTCCTTGTGCCAGGTCCCCCCCCGGTAGACCCCCTCCCCCCTCAGGGTCCTGCCCCTTCAGGTGTGTCCCAGGTAGACGCAGTCGAGCCTGTCGAGGTTACTGGTGACTCTGGTGCTGCTGAGGGTGCTGAGCCTGGGGGTGCTGACGCTGGGGGTGCTGAGCGTGTGGGTGCTACGCCTGGGGGTGCTGAGCCTGAGGGTGCTACTACTGGAGGTGCTGAGCCTGGGGGTGCGGAGCCTGAGGGAGCTGGGCCTGCTTGTGTGGCGTCTGGCGGTGCTGAGCCTGGAGGTTCTCCGGGTGCTTCGTCTCGGCGGGAGCCACTCTCTCCACAGGAGCTGCGCGAGTGGTTTGCCCAGCGCTGGAGGCGTGCTGCTGGTGCTAGAGGTTCTTCGGCTACTGAGGGTGCTGGTGCCGCGGGTCCCGGAGGTGCTCGTACTGGGAGTACTGGAGCTGCTGGGCCTACGGGTACGACTGGAGCTGGAGCTGCGGAGGGTGTTGATGCTGAGGCTACTGCTGTCGGTCCTGGAGGCGGTTCTGCTGGGGGTGCTACTGGTGCTGCTGGAGGTACTGGAGCTGGAGGTGCTGCTGGCGCTGGTGCTGCCGCTGGGGGTACTGGTGCTGTCCCTGCTGTGTCTGGAGTCGCCGCGCGGCCTCGGCCGTACTTCGTTCCGCTCCTTCAGCAGGTTCTTGGTCTCCCGCCTTCTACTGGTCCTCCTCCTCCCTTAGAGTGTCCACAGCCTGTCCTGTCACAGTTACAGTTACAGCCGGCCTCCCCACTGCCCGCTCCTTCTCCCTACACTGGTCCTACTGGAGGTCTTGCTGAGCGTCGTGAGCCTGCGTCGCGTCCTGCGTCGCCTGTCCGTACTGCTCGCGCTAGTGGTCGTGGTTCGCGTCAGCGTCCTCCTCCTGTCCCTGGCACGCACCGGATGTCTCTGCGTCCGTCCACTGCTCCTCTGCGTGCCCCTTTGCCTTCTCCTCCTGAGTCCTCTCTTCCTGCTCTTCCCGACCCGGAGTCGGACTCTCTTCGTGCTGCCAGTCCTACTGTCACGCGTCTCCTTGCTACTGTCGTCACTGACCCTTCCTTTGCGTCCACTGCTGCGTCTGCCCTAGTTGCTGAGCTCGTCGACTTTGCTGCTCGCTGTCGTCTAGACTACGCTGCTTGTCTTGTCGCTGAGTCTGAGTCTGTCTGTCCTCCGTCCGTCGGGGGTGAGTGTGCCCTTGGCACGGACGTCCTTGAGGACAGGCAGGAGGAGTTCCAGTGTTTGGCTGCTGCTTCACCTCATCTCGTGTCCGTACTGCTTACCCCTGAGGGAGACCCGGATGCACTTGACATCCCGACTCCGCGCTCTTACGCGGAGGCGATAGAGGGTCCCTACTCCTCTCAGTGGCAGGCAGCTATGGACACAGAGATGGCTTCCTGGAAGTCCACAGGCACCTACGTTGACGAGGTTCCCCCGCCTGGGGCGAACATCGTCAGTGGCATGTGGATTTTCAGGGTGAAGCGGCCGCCGGGTTCTCCGCCTGTCTTCAAGGCGCGTTACGTGGCTCGTGGCTTCAGTCAGCGGCAGGGAGTTGACTACTTTCAGACCTTCTCTCCCACCCCGAAGATGACCACTCTTCGGGTACTGCTGCACATAGCTGCTCACCGCGACTACGAGCTGCACTCTCTTGACTTCAGCACTGCTTTCTTGCAGGGCAGCCTGCACGAGGAGATCTGGCTGCGTCGCCCACCTGGCTTCACTGGGTCTTTTCCTCCTGGCACCCAGTGGAGCCTCCGGCGGCCAGTCTACGGTCTCCGCCAGGCACCGCGTGAGTGGCACGACACACTGAGGACTACACTTGCGGCTCTTGGGTTTGCTCCCTCTACTGCCGACCCGTCGCTGTTTCTGCGCACCGACACTTCTTTGCCGCCGTTCTACATCCTCGTGTACGTCGACGACTTGGTCTTTGCCACAGCTGACACTGCTGGACTCGCCCACGTGAAGTCCGAGCTGCAGAAGAGACACACGTGCACAGACCTGGGTGAACTGCGCAGCTACCTTGGCTTGCAGATCACCCGGGACAGAGCACGCCGCACCATTACCCTGACTCAGTCACACATGGTGCAGCAAGTCCTTCAGCGCTTCGGCTTCACGTACTCCTCGCCTCAGGCCACTCCTCTGCCTACTCGCCACTCGCTCTCAGCTCTGCCTTCGGATGAGTCCGTAGAGTCGAGTGGCCCGTACCCAGAGCTTGTTGGCTGCCTCATGTACCTGATGACCTGCACACGACCTGACCTCGCATACCCTCTTAGCATTCTCGCACGCTATGTTGCTCCTGGGAGACACAGACCGGAGCACATGGCTGCAGCGAAGAGGGTGTTGCGTTACTTGTGCAGTACGTCGAGCATGGGGCTTGTGCTTGGAGGGCAGAGTCCAGTGGTCCTCACTGGGCACGCAGACGCTTCTTGGGCTGACGACCAGGCTACGCAGCGGTCGTCACAGGGTTACACCTTCAGCCTTGGTTCCGGCTCTGTTTCGTGGCGGGCTACCCGCTCGTCTTCTGTTCTCGGCTCCAGTTGTGAGGCTGAGATCTACGCCGGGGCCATGGCAGCACAGGAGCTTCGCTGGCTCACCTACCTGCTGACTGACCTCGGAGAGCCGCCTCGTTCTCCTCCAGTGCTGTACGTAGACAACAAGGCCATGCTGGCCTTGTGTCGAGAGCAGAGACTGGAGCACAGAACGAAGCACATTGCTCTCCGCTACTTCCTTGCTCGTGAGCTACAGCAGCGTGGTCAGCTGCGGCTTGCGTACGTGGCCTCTCAGGCCAACACTGCTGATATCTTCACCAAGGCACTTGCGCCTTGTGATCATCAGCGTTTCTGTACTCAGCTGGGCCTTGTGCCTACCTTGCCTCACTTGCTCACCCCTTGACCTTATTTGTACTGTTGCATATATATATACACCTGCTCTTGCTTGTCTAGCCTTATATATATATATGTAATCCTGCATGTGAACTGGCCTTGTGGCCTTGAACCTGTGCTCGGAATGTGTGGTGACTTTGTGATCCACCCTGAGCTTGCTTTGCTTTGCTTGACTGGTCTTGTGACCCCTTGTTCTCCCCCACTTTGCCTATGGGGGTGTGTCAGATTTATATGACAGAGCCACTGTAGGCTATAGTGGGGTAGCACATATGGGGTACAGTTTTCTAGGGTTTGCATTTTGTACCCAACTTTCCCTTAGTCATTTCCCATTCCTCGTTTCTTCTCAGGTCACTGTATCGGGTTTTCTGACGGGTTTGGTAAGCGGGGTCACGGATTCAGTCACTAACAACAGGTAAAAAATCACGCGAATGGTCACACATGTAACTCCCGCCAAAAAAACTTGAAACTCAACAAAATTCCCGCTCGCGCCCAACCAATCTGCGAACTTGTAAAAAAACTAAAACCCAATCGGAATCGGATGCGGTTTGGGAACGGATCAACCCTAAACACCTGGCGAGTTACGTGTTTAGGGTTGATCATCCGAAAATGCATCCAGGTTCTTTCTGGGTTTCATTTTGTTTTGGCGGGAGTTTCATCTGTGACCATTCGCGTTTTTTTTTACCAGCTGATTGTGACTGATTCCGTGAAACGCTTTATCAGTCGCGTGAAAACACCCTTTGCAGTGACCGTACCCTTTATTTTTTTACCAAAAATGTTTTCGAGTCCCATGATGGTTACGAACGGCATATTTTCCCGACCCTAAAACTGTAAACGGTACACGGTATCGTGACAAATGAATTTACTTGTCATATAAACCCTCTCCCCCCCACAGGCAGAAACGGTGTCCGTTGGATCAGGCTTTTCATGTCCGATTCCCCTTCTCTTCCTCTCGTTCTCAAACCCTTCCTGCCCCCCGTAGCAGTCCTTCTGTGGCTGTCCTTCAGAACCTGCAACCCCTATTTTGGCTCCAACAGCTACGGGCTTTTCCCTTTCCCGTAGTTCCATCTCTCACGTCTTCCTCGCCTTGTGGGCAGTCCCCTAAACAGCCGCCGCCATGGGTCGTATGCACAGTCACGGGTCAGTTGATTTTCCTCGCGCTGCTGTTCCTTGCTTTGTCGGAGGGAACGCTGACGCGCGTAGTTCGCGATTTTTTTTTCTGTCGCGCCTTACTTGGTTGATGCAGAAAGGGTATTTCGCGCTCCGCCCTGCCCTACAAGCGCACTCCTCCGAGCTGGTTGAAGATCTCCGCCCCCGAGGCACGTTCGTTCTCTCACTTAACGTAGATCCTTACTTTTTGACCACCCATCGGAAATCATCCCAGAAACCCCGAATCAGCGTACCTGCGTGAGCTCTAAGGACGAGCTTCTGTGTCTAGATTCTTACCTTTTTGGCAATGTGCATACAATACCCCTTTCGGAAAGACACAGTGCCCGACGCTTTACTTTCGTTAAGGCTTCGCGTCGGCATGGAAAACAAACAAAGTCGGCCGGCACGCTCATACGACCTAGCACATCCGCAAATTCGCGACGAAAGAATTGATTCTTCGAGCCACGCTTTACGTCCAGCTCATTCATTCTGCACTTTTTGTCCACTGATTGATGGCAGGTCGACGAGCACATCTGCAAGCTCGCGAAGAAGGGTCTGACGCCGTCGCAGATCGGCGTCATTCTGAGGGACTCGCACGGTATCGCGCAGGTGTCGGGCGTCACTGGCAGCAAGGTCCTGCGCATTCTCAAGGCTCACGGTACCTGACCTGAAACTCTTCTCTGCTGGGGTAAACCCCCCTCGAATATTCCAACGTCCCTTTCTGTAAGCTTCACTGCGGGCCGCACGGCCGGAGCAGTGAGCGGTCAGAGGGCGTTATCGGTATGTGCCCCTCCATTCCTCCGTTGCTCTCGGGCGCTCGTCTTCGTTCAGATTCTCAAACAAAAATGTTGATTTATTCAGGGTTTTGAGTTAGGTACAGGTTGATGCATGTTTCTTGTCAATGTTTTCGGGTCTAAGGCCTGGCGCCCGAAATCCCCGAGGATCTGTACCATCCGATCTCCTAGGCGCTGGCGGTTTGTAATGTTCACCCCTTCCTCCGACCCTTCCCCCCCTCCCCACCCTGCCGCCCCCCCCCCCCCCCCCCCCCCCCCCCTTCCCCCTTCACCAATAGGTCTTGCACCGGAGATCCCCGAGGATCTGTACCATTTGATCAAGAAGGCGCTGGCGGTGCGCAAGCACTTGGAGCGCAACCGCAAGGACAAGGACTCCAAGTTCCGCCTCATTCTCATCGAGAGCCGCGTGCACCGCCTCGCGCGCTACTACAAGTGGACCAAGAAGCTGCCGCCCAACTGGAAGTAGTGAGTGCATTTTGCTGCTGCTTCCTTACCTTTCTCCCCCCCCCTCTCCTCCCCCATTCTCTCTCTCTCTCACACTCTCTCTCACTCACTCACTCTCTCTCTCTCTCCCTCTCTCCCTCTCTCTTGTAGTGCATTGTTGATGTCTTCTTTGTGTGAATTCGGCTCTAAGGGCTCAAACCGTCGTTGCTGCTTGCACTTGGCGCCATAAGCTGACCCGTGAACCTAGAAGCAATGGGTACCGTGCAAGGGTTCCGAGAGCCATGCTGCATGCATGACCCTTCCTACTGATATCTCATCCTTGCCATCCCATCTTTTCTCTACTTCTTTTCCTCCTTGCAGCGAGTCCGGCACTGCCAGCACCCTCGTTGCCTAAGCAGGAAATTGGGAGATTTTGTACCTATACCGAATGCCAGGTATACCGACTATACCGAATGCCAGCTACAGCATCGACTCAAACGGAGGAGCCGCCACCAACAGCAATGCCCAGGTGGGAGCTGGCGGCACGGCAGCAGCAGGAGCAGTAGGTGCTGGTAACCCTGTAACTGCGGGTACAGTGAAGCGTGGGAAGAAGTGGAGGACTGGAGTGGCACCGGCTAAGAAGGCAGGAGGGGGGCACCCTGTAGGGAAGGGGCACAGAGCTCCGGGTCAAGGACACCATGTGAAGGGCCAACCTGTCTTGGCTCGGTAACACTTGGTTCGGCATCATGCGACACATGGCTTGGTAACATTTGGCTTGGTAACACTTGGCTCGGTAACACCTGGCTTGGTAACGCTTGGCTCAGTAACACCTGGCTCGGTAACACTTGGCTCGGCAAGACTTGGCCCGGTAACACTTGGCTCAGTGACAGTGGGTTGTCAACCATTGAATTTGCTTGTCAGTAGGGTGTTCAAGGCTCTACCTACAGTATGGGACATGAGGACATATCTTGGACGCATGCATGGTGAATGAATACCTTAGGATGCATCAATAGCATGCATTAATAGCTGGTTGTAGGTTGCTCGCGTGGCAACTTGGCTTGTGTAGGTATGTTGGGAGTAGTAGCAGATCATTAGTACTACCGTAGTTACCCAGTTTGACTCTGCCAAACTTAGCATTGTATGAATATATATCTATGGTTGTTTTGTCCTCCTTAATCATCACAGCGTTGGCTCTCGTATCGTACGGGTGTCCTCCTTTTTTCATGTGGCACGAGCAGATTGCACCCATCAATTCTCCTCCCAGTTTCCGATTTTGGGGCTTGTGAAAACTCAATGAACCAGCTCAACCTTGCATTCCTCAGTGAAACATTGTACAACCGGATTATTCCCACAGGTGTCTGCTCTGCACACCCTTTTCTGCTCACCTCCTCCCACCAGCGTCACTGTCGCCAAAGGGTCTTCCCCTCCTCAAATCACCTCAATTCTACAACCCCCCCCCTTACTTTCCTATGCCCTCCCATCTACCCTTTCCCCCCACCCCCAACCCCCCACCAAAAGCCGCCTTGAGAAGCTTCCGCCTACGAGGTTTACTGCTGTGTATTCTTGATCTCTGCCCCCAGATGCAGCACCACGCAAGGACCGTTACTAGAGTTAGCTCAGAAGACATCTCGATTCTCGATCCAGAAGCCACAGCACAGCACCAAGTTGACTTGAGTTTAAGTGAAAGTCCTCAGCACCGCACCACGTAATTGCCGACCTTTCACCCAACTTTGAGGCCATTTCGAGATTCGAACCGAAGAGCCTACTCCGACTTCACCTTCACGAGCCGCTTCTTATTCTCTGCTTCAAGCAGCGGCACCACATACCACTTGACCCACTTGACTTGACTCGGCCTGGAAGTAATTTCCATCCTACTCCAGCCATCTCGACCTTAACCCTACTCCGTCTTCACCTTCACGAGCCGCTTCTTAATCTCCGCCTCAAGCAGCGGCACCACGTACTGGTTCACATAGAACGCAGCGGTCACCGCCCCCGCATGACCAGGAAACATGGCATTCGCAAGCGCTTTCGCCGCCTTCTTCGCTGCGGTCCTCACCAACGCCTTCTGCTTCTCCGGGTCCTTCGCAGCCTTGATCGGGTCTTTCATAACCTTGATCGCATCGAGCACGGCATCGCTCGCCATTTTCGCCGCCTTGTCCTTCATTTTCGTGGCTAGGCTCGTGTCGGGATACGCCTCGAAGACCCGTTTGGGTGCCGGTGATTCGGCCAAGGCGCGCCGGCTGGTAGAAACGCTGGCGCCACGGGTGGTACCATCAGGATTGATTTGCGCGAAGCGGGGAGCCGTGGGATCGGCAGCAGCGACGGTCAGCGCGAAGGCCGCGAGGAGAACGAGGAGAAGAGAGAGGTAGCACCGGAGAGCCATGGCGGGTTGGATATTGCGGCGGTATGTAGGAAGAATCAACGTGACGCCTGGTTGAATGTGCACGCGAAGTACCGCGAAGTGACTTTGCGTGACGTGCTGTAGTGTCATAAGACGGGAAAAGAGCTGCGAAGGAAGTTAGATCCTGATGTGGGAGATTCGAATGCCAGAAGTTGGTTGGTCCTTACGACTGAAATACTAGCTTTTATATATTTCTAGAGGCTTGGATGTGCAACCCCGACGGATGCCCACTGGCAGGAGTGATAAGGAGGCTTACCAGAGGGACGCGAGGGGTGGGGAGACGGCGCAGCATGCAGCGTTTACGCAAGCCATGAGCCATGAACTCATGTCTGCCATTGCACGGAATAATTGCGACGAAATTTGAAAAAGGCAATAATTATCCCAAATTTCCTTCAACAAGGAGAAGAGCCGTGGGAAGGGTGGACTGTGGTTTTGTCGCCTGCTTGACGCGGAATGATTTTTTATTGGTCTTTTGCAGCCGCGTGATGCGGAGCGAGCTTCGGTTGAGCCTGTGGCTGGCCGCATATCACGGTGGAAAAAGGTCCACTACACGCAGCAACAGAACACTTCTCGTATACATTTATCTCTTTAAAACAAATGGTGCATTAGATTTGACACAAAACAAAACGCTTGAAGATATGTACAGAAATAAGATATTTGGTACCGGATTGAGATTTTAGGTGACCTTGGAGTCCTAATCAAGGCTAATTTTATCAGTGTAAATCACCCTGATACCCTGATTATCATGGTGGTTTTTGGTAGTCACACTAATGGCCTAGGGTAATTTTTTGTGGAGCTATGATTTTCCTGATATGCCAGGGTTCACATTTCAGGCACACTGATGCCTCAGGGTTACCGTTCTTCATAACGAGTTTTACCCTGAAGCGAGTACCATACCCCCCCCCCTCCCCCTCCCCCCCACTTCCCCCACCCCCCCCTTTCCCGTAAACCGGGATTCCCGATTGCCAAATGTCGAAACCGGAATTTGAGCCTGCTGAAGTAACTGACGACGAGCAACACCCATGTGGCATGTATGATCTAAAAAAAATATTGTGTGCAACGATAATATCAATTCATAAGGGTTTGCTAAACTGGTACACTGATGCCACAGGGTTGGATTTAAAAAAACAAGAAAAACACTAATGGATCAGGGTTTGAAGAAGGTGTCACACTGATAATCAGGTTTTTGAACAGGTGCAACACTGATCACAAGGGTTGCTCAAAACCAAAAATTAGCCCTGGTCCTAAGTTGCTAGACAAAAACGGTCATTTGTGTTGGAAACAAATAACTTAAACGCTTCTGAAGTAATCGAAGCATCGACACGAAACGAAGCAGACTACAAGCGAAACAACACGCGAGTCAACTAAAGACAAACGCTGGAGGTTACGCGAAGGTCAAAGGTCACTGACCTTTGACCTGACGAAAAATGCAGTGCGACAGCAAGGACACATAACTGACTCGATACTGAGCAGTTACCCGAGTCGTCACTGTATCGAACCGCAACAGCAGAAACAGTTAAAATCGAGCTTTCCATATTCCTTTGTAATCATATAAAAGCCTTGCAGTTACCCGAGTCGTCACTGTATCGAACCGCAACAGCAGAAACAGTTAATCTTGTTCTCACATACCAGTGCAAGGTGGTTCAAGTTAATACTACTATTACGCTTCCGCAACTGCAACATCACTACTTCAACAAAATCTTAGCCTTGAAAGATCCTAAGGGCTATTTCTTAGCCCAACATGGTATGAGAGCAAACATGGCAAGATCGATTTCTCAAATACCTACAACAACGCAAGGCATGACAACACAGAAGGAGAGGAGCTCCTCTAACGGATCTCCCGGCACTACTCGTACTCCACCTCCAGCCTCTGGTCTACAGACAGAAGAAGGCATAGCAACAAGACCAGCTGCGGAGTCAACCGAAACTCCCGGGAATCAAGCACCAGGCTTCGACCCAAGTATGATGGAGAAGTTCTTCTCCTTCATGCCCTTCTACGAGCAACACCAGCAAGCAGTTCCTGCACAATCAAACAACAGCGACAACAACGACATGGCTGTTCCAATGAGCCTTGACAATTCATCGTATGCGCGCGGAAATCAACAGCAACCCACCTTTGCTCCGTACGAACCTCAACGTGGCTCCATCAGCTTCGCGCCATACCCACAGTCTTCACCTGGACAAGAGAAGACGTTGGACGCCCTTCAAGTTCAATCACAGTTCGCACATGTGTTAAAACTGCAGACATCAACACCCTTCGACGGAAAGGACTTCTATACCTGGTCATTCGAATTTGAGCTGATGATG